ACCCCTCAGGAAGAAGAAAGAGAGAGCTGGGACACTTTGTCCATTGCATCTCTAGTGAAAATGAAGTAGTTGACTAGTCTAGACAATTATGATGTCTAACTTTTAAGACACTAAAAAAGAGATTAATTTAATCTCAATTGACCAAACTGCAGAGCTTTGTAGCTGCCTGGTTTCCAGGCAAGAGAATGACCTTCACTCTAACCAGTGAGCTTCAGTTCCCACCAGTTAGGGAAATTAAGGATTTTTAAACCAGTTGGACACTGCCTGGTCAGGTTACTCATTATGTACCTTGTTCCCTTAGGCCTTTTTTTAAGCTCTGTAGAACAGAGAACAAAAATGTTGTGCCCATTCTATGGAACATTTCAGTACAGAACAACTTTTTTTAAAAAAAAAAAAAGTCAAAATGCCTTTTTTTTTTCCCCCCTCTTCTTATCTTAAGGCCAGCTCAGAAGGCAGACATTTGTTTCAGCGAACAGACTGGACTTTTGGTGAAAGCAAGGACAAGTGCAAAACTTCACTTTGTCAAAGTGAGCATGGAGAAAATTAAATATAGAGCACAAGTCCATCAGGAGAACTTAAAAGGTAAGTTTATATAACGGGAGGGCACGAAACAGCACAGGGTGTTCTCTGTTCATACACAGACGATTAGTACATTTGAAACTGAGGATGGTCTTATTAACTTTTTTGCAATTAACATGTTTGGATTTTTGTGTTAATGGTAGATATGCAAGAATGATATCAATCTGCATAATCAACCCATTAATTGTCTTTTTACTAGTCTGGGACTAGTCAATCAACTAGAAAATTTAAGACTTGGGACATCCCAGTATCAGAGATTGAGTAACTGGTACCTCTACACACTCAGAAAAACATTCTCTGTGCTGGAAAAAGGAAGCTTGAAGGAAACACAGTGTAGAAGTAATCGAGGTCCATACTACATCCGTGGTAACTGCAACATGAGCAAGAAAGAAACCAAGCCCGCTTTTGAGGCAGCTGCATGGGTTACAGCCTTCTCACCAGAGGCTGAGACAAAGCAGCCGAAGCTACTGCAGTTAGTTAGGCCTTCACTGCACTGCTTCCCAAACAGACTAAATTAAGAAATCATACTTAAGATGTCTGTTCTATAAATATCTCTGTTTTCATTTAAACGCACGTGTAGCACATTTCAAATATCTCCTGTGACAAATTGTTTAATTGAAATATGCATGGAACAGGTTGAAGAAAGAATACCAGTTTCCAGGAAGGAACAAAGTCAGACAGGGAAACCTTCCTGAATTTTACCAAGATCTTGCACTTCTTTCTTTGTGCTAGTGAATATGAAGCAGAATTAAGTACCTTGATTACACTTTGTTTTGGAATTGTCTGTATTACTTTGATATGGTGCAGACTTGGGGAAAAAAAAAAAAGTGGGGGGACACCCTTTCCCTGATCTAGTAGTCTTCACACAGTTGTATCTGCTCAAGAGAATAGAGCAGAAAAATAAATCACAGGAGCAGGCAAGACTACCTTAATAGTGCAGCTTATTTTCAATTAATTACAGACTTAGATATTTTTTTTCTGAGGCCAAGCAGGCATCAGTAAGTGCCCACTTGATGCATTCAGTCTCAGCTGAAGAGACATACTGCTTAAAACTGAGAGATTTCACCCCAACCCCCACTCCCTCAACAAGGTAAAAATCTGAGGAGTCACAATTTCTTTAAGTACTATTAATTTATTTGGAACCATTTCCAGAGACCAGCAGAGGATAGCTCCAATTAAGAAAACCATTTTCATTAAATCATAATGTTGCAATTTTGTCTCAAAAAACCTAAGAGGAAGGCTAGGCTCCTTTATGCTTGAGTGACAAGACACACAGATCTCATTTTCCATTCTAAAGAAACTGCTAGTGAAAGGGTCTGGAGTGAGTGTGCCAGAGGAGGCAAAATACAATGCTCTGTGTCAAACTCCTGCCAACTTCCTCACCAGAACTGTAAAACAAAAAGTTCAGCATAACACCTTGAGCCCTACTGTAGGCAGTTGGCTTTTTAAGCCAGGCATTTACCCAGACTCTTCTACTGAAAGAAGAGTTACTCTAGTTAAAGTGAGCCAGAAAACCAATTTAATTGCACTTCTGTTTCTTGGGCCAGGGAAAATTTGGGAACTTTTCCCCAGTACTTCTTTAAGGAAAAACAGGAACTTCCCAGTGAGACAATACAGACAGGCATCTTGTGCACAGCAGACTCATGCAGCTGTGCTACTATCCAAGATGTGATGCAACAATAACTGCCTGGGCCAAAAACTGTCTCATCTCTAGGAGGAACTTCAGCCTTTAGATCTGATATCTAGATCTTTGCTTACCTAACTGTATTATTTAAACAGAAAACTGCTTAAAACCATGAGGGAAGACCCTGAAGAGAAGTAGTAGAACACATAACTAAGTACTCTGAGCAATCCTGGCAAACGCCCCAAACCAATGCTGCAGCATCCAGGCATCAGCTAGAACAATCCTTCTCACAGAAGGTGTAAAGTCAAAAACGCTATGTGGCTAAAGGCCACCCTAGGGGAAAAAAAAAAAAAAAAAGAAAAAAGAAAAAAGAGACTATTGGACCATTGCAGAGCCAAAATGGGAGAAAAGAATGTAAAGCTGTCAGTACCAACTCCAGTCCTCAGAGGACACCCAGGGCATTAAGACACCTTTTACAGTCTTCTGTTCTGAGCAATAGCAAGGATTTAAGCTAATGGAGCAACTCTGCTTTTTACTAAGCCTAACAGTTACTGCAAAGGGGGTGCGGGAAATCAATTAATTCAAAGACCTATCACCTGCACTGGGTGGCTGCGCATTTTGATCTTACTGCCTTTGGGGTTTCAGTGCTTTTTAAGCTCCCACATGGCATGATCTGTCATGACTGTCAATAGCAGACCATTATTGTCTTTCCCTCTGGTCTCTGTGTATGCATTTAGATAAAATAATCCTCCCATTTAAGGCAGAGCAGCTACCTACAGTCGCTACCTCAAAATATTCCTAAACATGACTAGAAATGTAGCAAACTAAGGGGTTGAAATGGAAATGTTAAACATCTTCCACAAACCACATTCACCTTCCAACATACGTAAGGAAGAAATGCATTGGTAAGTACTGCTGCATTCAGCGACACAGGAGGTTCTCTGACTCCACTCTTTTATTGATGGTTGACACACCATTTAAGTACTGAAGTACTTGCAAGTACTGAATTTCTCATCTGGTTCACCCCTCAAGCCACAACAGCAGACACTGTCTCTAAACTTCAGAAGTGTCCTTTGAAATGAAAGAAAATCCTATTTTCTTTAACAGAGAGCAAAAGACAAGGGCAGAAAACTACACGGCTCTTTTTCACATTGGTTCACAGAGCTTTCACAGAGTGGTAAAAAAGAATACAAAGAGTATTTTATTTCAGTTTCATAACATGGTTCTGCTTTCCACATTATAAAAGAAACACTGAATCAGACAGGTTTGTGCTTTATTTCCAGATAACATAGTCTGTTCTTCATTGAAAGCTTTCCTTGGAAGTTAGTCAAGTTTTGTTTGTGATGGTTTTTGTTGCTGTTTTGGTTTGGGTTTTTTTTTTTTTTTTGGGGGGGGGTGGGGTGGGGGGAGGTGTTGGGGTGGTTTTTTAGTTTTTTGGGGTTTTTTTTTTTTGAAAAAACTGCTTTGCAACTACAATGAAATAAACAAATCCAAATATACCAAAGTACACAGCCTTTCATCCTCTGCCTAGAAGCAGATAAATGTACATTTACTTTTATTTATTTATTTACCTTCCTTCTGAAAGAAAACAAGATTTCCTTGTCTCTCATTTCACCAAGCCTTCCTTCAGAATTTATTACTTCTGACATGAAGACCCTTTCTTCCCCATCTGTAAGTCAGTAACTATATTTGCCTTTTATAGTGTGAGGCATCAGGAATAAGTGTGCATTTTATTTTCCCAAAGTTAATCAAGCTGTTTATCACAAGTTCACACAATCCTCAAGTTCTCCAAGATAACACACACGAAAAGATTACCAGGAATTTGGTTGTCTACAGAGCAGAGAAAGAGGTAAGTTGTTTTGGTTTTTTTTTCCCTCCCTTTGCATATCCGCACAGGTATTCTGAGAAATCCAAGTTTTCACTTCCTCAAGTGTCCACCTCACTATTCTTTCCAAATGCTTAGAGACCAAGTTGAACATGTGCAGTTTGTTTTATTGCACTGGTATAGTCTTCACAACACTGTTTTAGAAATCACGAAGTAAATCTAATACAACCATACTGAACATTTCTAGCACTACAGTTCTGCTTCCTACATTCAAGGCCTGTAGGTTCCACTTAGTATAGTCAGATGGACAAACTCAACATCTCTTGCTTGCCTTCTCAGCCTTATCTTGTTCCACTCACAATGCCTCCACCACCACCACCACACTTACCAGCGCTTTCCAGGGTGGAGTACCTTCCTGCTATTTATGGAATATTTCCGCTGCACCCGACACATAGTAGCTAAGGGCCATTGGAATTCAGTAAACTATTAACTTAAAATCACTGTAGGTAACAATTTATGATTTGCCTTGGCAGTCAGCTAAGCCAAAGCTCTCTGAATCTGTGATCCAGCTTTATTTCAGAGAACAAAGTTACCAGCTGATCCTCAAGACTGAAATACTTCCACCATCCCCCCAGTGGCTTAGAAAAATAATCTGTTATTATTCTAATGTGTTTTGTTGTTTGGTTTTGGTTTTTTTGTTGTTTGGGGTTTTTTTTAACCCTATGCAGTATCTTCTCCTATACTGAAGGAAGAGTATAAGCACACACAAAGTTTTATGTCCATTCACATATTTTACAGGCTTCCGATTGACTGGTAAGTTGAACCGCCCTATACCTTTCCAGCCACCCCCCAAAAACCTCTCGTCAGCTTCTCTTTTTCCCCACACACACTTGCACAACACCATGCTACTCAGCTGTACTCCTTTGCTGCTAACAGTAGTAGCTTTAGAATCAGTAGTGGGGAGGGACTTACACTGGTCACTCGGCGGTAGATCTGCGCAGCATTTTGGCACTCAGAATAAGGATACTCAGACGTGGCCATCTCTAGCATACACATCCCAAAAGCATATACATCAACGGATTCATCGTATTTCTCCTCATACATCTCGGGGGCCATGAATTCTGGGGTACCTTAAATTAAAAGAACGATTCAGACTCTAAATGTCTCAAAGCGAGCAGAGGCTGCTGGCGTTACTCACCGCAGGAGGAAGCAGATGGGCAGACCTGTGAGACAAGAGAAAGTGGAGGCAAAAAGAAGAGGAAGGAAACCCTTAGTCGCTCTGTTGTACCAACATACTTTGTGAGTCTTCCATTGCAAGGCCTTTATGGAAGAAGAATGTCACGAAAGGACTGATGCAATTCCTGTTTTATGAGTGTTAGTATATTAACTTATATTAAAGTATCAAAAGGCTGGAGTCAAATGGAGGGGGGGATAAGAAGAGGGGAAAACTGTAGACTAGCCATAGGCTGCAAACCAAATACTAAGGAGAGTTAAGACACTTACCTTTTCTCCCTCTAAGAAAGGAGGCACATTAAACCTCGTTTCAAAAATTACCTGACTGCCCTCTGCTGAAAAAGAAGTAGTATTGGTAAGAGCCCACAGCTAGTCTCTGACCCGGTGCTCTCCATCTACTTTTTGAAGTAGAATGGTTCACAAAAGGCCTTGCAATGAAAAACTCTGTTGTTATAGACATAAACCTTCATGGAAAAAGGATAAAAAGTAATTTTCTGCAAAGGCCACTCACCAGAGCCCTTTTCTTCATATACTTACCTTCCCACCTGCAGTATATTTATAGGCCTACTGCAGATACAGGCATTAGTGAGGGACATCCTATAGTCAAAAATACTCAGAAATACAGAGAGATTGAGTTACAGGCATAGAGCGTGAGATTCAACAAGTCCCATTTAAATAGTGTGCAGAAAATTATTGCCCAGTGAAGCATCACAGCATCCCCTCTGTAAGCAAAGCGACTGCATTGTATGATCAGATTTTCTTTAAGCCAGAGATGCAAGTTTGCTTTTTGTAAATTAAAGCACAGAATTATTTCCTGCAGATACCAGATTCAAGACTGTTTACAGCTCATTCTATAGCCACATTGCTTGTTTTCACCACGCTAAAAATCAAAAAAAGAGAACGTAATTGCAGTCATTTATTAAAAGACTAACTGTAACAACAGCTAGCTAGATATGAAGTGGTAATTTTCCAATGATCAATTTGAGGATAAGATGAGTATGCTTAAGAAAATACAAATTTTAGACACTGTACACTTTTCTTTCCTATTAATAATACTTTAACCTGGTTAAGAAGCAGGAAATATTTCAGCGACAGCTTGCAAGACAATTTACAGGTATGCGCTATCGATCCCAGCTGGGAATCTAGTATAGGACTGTTGAGTAATACTGCATTTCAACAAGCTCTAAATGCTGAGAGTGAAAACAACTTCATTCCCTGCAGTCAATTCACCAGACTATAAAAACAAAGCTGATAAAACCAATTCTTTCAAGAATTCACAAGACAAACTATTCTTCTTCGATCAAAACAATTTCTTAAAATAGGTTATTAGCAGATACACAAGAACAGAGCCAGTATACGGCAACGCTTCCCCAATGCATCCTCCTAACTCACATAAATCACATTCTATAAACTCCCTGTAAGGGCATTATACCACAGTCTGACTGCGATATTATATAAATATACACATAAACACACATGTTGACTTTCTTTGATATACCTTACTTTCTGATTATTCACAAAGTGTAAGAGATTTAATATTAAGCCTTGGTGACAACAACAAAAAAATTAATGCTACACTAAATATCAAAATGTTGGTCACCAAAATGCATTTGTACATTTCTTGGAAAAGCATCCTATTAAAGCTGAGATTTATATGTCGTCAAGAGTGGTTTTATCAACAATGTTGCACTAAACTGTTGGGCAGGGCAATGAATCCATATTCTAAAATAGTTAACATTAATGTACAAATATCAAAACCAGAACCAAAATTTCAACATGTAATCTCATCAGGAACACAGAATGACCTCAACAGCCAAGAAGCAAAGCCTACACATTTTCAGGCTTTGACCATGTACTTCGGAACCATGTTTTTAAGGAAAGCTCTTAAAAGACTCAAGTTTCCAAATAGGTAGACCGGCTCATCAGCCTCTGAAACAGGAGAAGCTTACCTATCACACTTTTGGCAAAAGAAGCCCGTTTCAGCGTTGCCAGACCAAGGTCTCCAATCTTGACTGATCCAGTGGGGCCAGTAATGAAGATGTTGTCACATTTTAAGTCTCTATGAATAATGGGAGGAGTGCGCGTGTGTAGAAATTGTAAGCCTTTCAGTATCTGACGGCACCAGCTTCGTAGTACTTTAATTTTCATCACTTTAAATCTTTTCAGATATCTAATGAAAAAAAGCAACAGTGGGTTAAACAGGTTCTGCTAACAAGTAGTAGATTGTACTGTAACAGTTGCTGTTCTGAAGTGAAAAAGCAGCAATTACAGATGCACAAATTTCAACTTCACCTTCTATTTTAAATCTACCTGAGCATTTCAAGACTTCAGAGGATCTAAAGACTATTCTCCCTCCTAAAATCTATGCCCTTTCTTCTAGCCAGGGGACTATAATGCTGAAAGATAAATGTGAAATGTTTGATCTGTATGTCTACAAAGTCATCCTATGGTAATCAGACAGTTGGCTTGCTAAGTTTCAATGCACTGCTTCCCTGACAAAGAGTTAAAGGCTTATACATTACAACAATTCTTTATCTATTCATTTAAGAGACTTTTTTCTTCCCTTCTATCCTGAAAGGACTTAAATAGTTACCACCTTTTCCTTGATTAAATCTAACTGGGTGGGAAGGTGGGGCACCAGAGCCAAAACACTAATAACAACCAAGTACAGAGTCTTTGCAAACTGTGTGAGAGCTCTGAAGTCATTATACCTCAGTAATCGCTATCAGCCCAAGCACTCTGATCAAGATTTCCACATTACACTTTAAACCTGCTTTAAATGTACTCGTTGAGTTGCCAAGCATGTTAGAAATTCTTAGAGATCGCTTCCCTGGTGCAAGACAGGGTTTGATCACCTGAATCTGACCGGTATGACTCACTACTTCAAAACTATGGACAGATATGGACAGGGCAGGGACATCTTTAAAAAGGCTCTGCCAAATAATTGACATGGAAGGACTCATACATAAAATCAGTATCCCCTTGCAGGTAGAACGTGACCCAACTTTAATTGTTCTAATATTGCTGCTTTTTAAAATCTCACATGATAAGAGTAAACCACCAAAAATATTTTCCAATGCTTGTGACTTAAGACTGATCTTATTGTCCCCTTAACTTCAACAGATTAGAAATGCTACAAGGTGAATAACCTATGACAGTATTAAAATGCTTTCCAGCAGTGCATTCTCACAATCTCTCTTCGGGTAAAATGATTTGAAGTGAAGAGCTGCTGTTTTCTTCCTTTTGAAAAAGTATGGGCTGAAATACATTTAGAGAAAGAAACTAGCATGCTATGTACAGCAAAGACTTTATTCTTATTCAGCCAATCTTACTCAGTCACAGTCTCAGATAAAGACCCGTTTCACACTACTGCAAGACTGGTAGTAAATTCTGTGACCAGCATGGAGTCTAGCAACCACAATATTAAAACAAAACCAAGTCATATTCAACTATTCCTCAGTAGCGTTCAGTCTCTTCTGCATATCCACTTCATCGGCAGAAAGTCTTGATGAAATCACTTGAATCAACACCAACATAAAATGCAGTATACTAATCCCTTTCACTTTAATTTCTCCTGTTCAAAAGATCTGGAAAAATCAAGTTGCTAGCAACAACCCTTCTGTGAAAACAGATCTTTAAAAGCAATCGGGGCCCAGTTCCAGAAGGAAATCAAGTCTCAAAACAGAACGTAAAGACAGGCAAGGAAAAAGCCAAGCCAAGAAGCAGACAAACCGAAGGAGGTTCTGAATCACATCGGCTGCCACTTGAATTCTTGCTATTGACACAACCCTCATTCATCTCTCTTGAGCCTGTTCCAAAGATCACATGGCAGGGGCACTTCAGTTCAGTATCTGGAATCCCTAATTACATTCTTGGTTTCAAATATGCTAGTCTACTGCCAGCTTCTCACTGTTAAAGGACCTGGGTCCAACCATCACCCAGCATCCTGCAGCGTTGCTGTCATTTTTCCACACCACTGTCATAAACTAAGTCACATGTCACTTGAGGCAGAAACCATTTTAAAATGGAAGCGTATATAAATAAAAAAAAATATATACACAGACAACCCTACTAGCCAGTATGTTTTCAGTTTTCCTAGTGCCATAGGATAACTGAAGCTGCAAGAGACCTCAGGAGGTTTCTATTCTAAGTTTCTGCTCAAGGTAGGGTCAGTCACGACGTCAGACATGGTTACTCTGGGCTGTATTCGGCCAGGTCTCTAGTATCTCCAAGGATGGAGCCTGCACATCTTGGGGCGTTCCACTGCCTGACTATCACCACTGAAATAGCTTCTCCTTACATCACTCTGAATCTCTTTTCTTTCAGTTTATGACTGTTGTCTCTAATTCTCCCACCACACACCCCTGCAAAGAGCCTGACTGACTTCCTTGTACAGCCTGGAAGGCTACTGTTAGGTCTCCCGCAAAGGACTTGCTTCTTCAGGATGACCAAGTCCAGTTCCCTCAGCCCTTCCTCATAGAGCAGGTACTCCCAACACCTGACCATCCTGGTGGCCCTCCACTGAACTTGAGCAGGCCCTCCTGCTTAATCAACAGCGTTCTTGTCTATTTTACAGGGTGGTAGTCAATTTTTAAAAAGGTAGATATTTGATCTTTGCACAGAATACAAGCAATGACGAGAACACGAGGCCTTCTTAATAGTTAGCTTCAATGAACAGAGAGAAACAGGAACTAGAGTTTGGCCTTCTGTCTCAAGGTTGATGGAAGGTTTTTTGGTTATCGTTTTTTTTGTGGGGTTTGAGTTTATTTTTTGTTTTGTTTTGTTTTAAGCAGGAAGGCTGCTGGAGCTAAAGGAAACCATACTAAGTTAGCAGAGGTAGTTATGAAGGTATGTGTCCTACCAGAAAGCCACACATTCATTTAAAGTGTATCAGGAACATGCACTGCAATGGCCTTAGACAAAACTAGTGGCTGAGACCTAGGTCAGATTAAAAATTGCCATCCTCATTAACAGTGTAATTCAGACTTAAAATCGACAACTCCTTTTTTTCCTCCAATATTTTAATTGCATGACAACATATAATATCAGAAAGCAGTTTAATTCTTTACAACAATTGAGATTTAAAACTTTTCCACTGGTATGCAGTAGTTCAGTGACTTTTCTTCGCGCAAAATTAGAAATTTGCCCAGACAGAAATTGAAAAGTATGAATCCACAATATTTTAACATTATTTATATGTATATATATCTAAATGTATACAAATACAAAAGAAAATTTACTTTAAGATATCACCACATTTTTTTTTACATCAAGTGACAACAATGTCTATGCCCCAAGTCTCAAAATGAGGAAGGCATCACTTGTATTAAATGCAGGTAATATAAACATACTGAAAAAAAAAGATACGGAAGTAATAACCATATATCATAAGCAAACACAAGTGTGCAGTGTAAAACTAGGAATACGACACAGATTCATGAAATACTGAATGATACTAAATTTGGCCCATCAGAAATTTCCTAGTTTACCTGTCAAGTCTCAAGCAAAGTGTACAAGAATAAACTAAATCACAATTACAACACAAACTATGTAATAGTGGGGAAAAAAAAAAAACCCACAACCCCAGAGGTCTACAGTTTAAAAGATCTTCAATTTAAGAGCATATTTCTGAATAAAAAGACCTTCATACTTCAGAGTACAAAATAATCCTATAGCCAGCAAATCTGAGCTCTTTCTTCGTACCAAGACCCTACTTTATAACTGTCTATTATTACTTTATCATCTTGCTTATGCCACCACATAACAAGCCAATCCAAATATTAAAACCTGTGTGGGGAAAAAAGGAGTAAGAAAGGGAGAAAAAGAGTTAAATCTAACACTACATATTCTAGCACAAAACTAGGTAATTTTATTTAAAGGCATCTGTACAGAGATGTAAAACCTTTATTATCACTCTGAAAACAGCACAAGAAATAGATCTATTATTTTATCTAAAATACCCTAAACAGCCTCAGAAAAGTCCTCCCTGAACATACAGCTACAGTATCTTCAGCCCTCCAGTACTACTTCGAGAAACAAACACTTCCCTGTAATTACAGTTCAGACTCCCAAAAAGCCATGTTTTCCCTCTTTAAATACGTCCATTTGTGGCTATCAATAAGCATCGTAAAATACACAAGCCAGTTGCAGGCTATTTTAACCAAATAGATTGCAAGTTATTTCCAGCTCCTACAGTCTGCTTACACACTAAGGATTTGAATGCCTCTCCAAGACTTAAATGGGCCCTGAGTTAAGACAATGACCCACAACCCCCGAATTTCACATGCTGGCAGTTTTATTTCCAGTAGATTAATGGTGACTTGGATGCTCATGAACAAGCTCACAGCTCTGCAAGTTTCTACAGTGCAAAGCAAAGGGGTGATTTCAGTGTAACTCCCCGCAGGCTCCACATACCCCTAGAGGGCCCTCGCAGCAGTTTGATTTGCTGATGTCTACTTTTAACTCTGGCTTAAAAACAGACCTAGTTTCACCTCAGCTACTTCACAGGTTGAAATTGTAGCCATCTGCATACTTTCAGATTTTTGCTAGGTCCTACTTCATGAAGTTTCAGCTAAACAAATAGGTGGTGGGGGTTTTTTTTCTTTTTATAGTACTTTGTAAGTACTGTAAGTACCCAAAACCTTCCAGAAGAGGTGAATTAATTCATGCTTTGAATTTTACAAACCAGCTCATGCTAAATGGAAAGCAGCTGGAGAGGGAAACAAAAAATTCTAGGAAGTGAAAGCAGAACGTTGTCTTCCTGAGCTCTGAAAACCTGAAAGTTTTCTGCATGTGCTTACTAGGACACCACAAGGAAGAATCTGACAAGCTTGCTGACTTAAAGGATGTTTTACCATACCCTGC